TGTTGTTGCTGTTGCTGGCGCCGCCCTCGTCATCATCCCTCCCCCCCCCGCCCTTGGCGAACAGCTCGATGCAATTCAACCTGCAGCACCGCAGCTGCTGCTGCTGCTGCTGCTGTTGTTCGTTGCTTGTTGCCTTAATGAGCTCCCAACACTCCTGCGCGGATTGTGGTTCCTCCCACTTTCGCTTGGAACGCTGCTGTTTCTGTGGAGCCCCGGGGGTGTCTCCCGAGTCATCCTGTCTCCTGAAAAGGGGAGTCGTCTGTGCCCTCTTCTGGCGCCTTTCTTCCTCGCGCTGCCGGCGCGCTTTGTCCGCTGGGGCATCTGCTTCCCCGAAGAGCCATGCCGCAGAATCCGCCACGGGCATGGCTTCGTTGGACGATTACGTGTGACCTCGGTTCCTCGGTTAGTTGCTGTGGCGTGGTGTGTGTGCGTGTGGGGGTTTCTCGAAGTAGAGCTCCCTGTATCGTACCTCTTGCGTCTCGACCGGAAAGAGAGAGCGGTCGAGCAGTCGACAATTGATGTATCATCAGAAAGCGGTGGTCTTGATTACAGCGCTCAACGCTGCGCTTTGTATTCAAATTGACCAGTGAGAGCGGCCGGAGGATTATTTTTTTATTTTTGGGGCCCAGAGAAGTCATTTCGATTACTTCGGAATCAAAAGTGGTCTGAACCGACACGAAAACGTTTCCGCTCAGACCGAAAGAAGAAACGCTAATTCTACAACCGATATGATTCGTTTGGAATCGAATCGAAGGGGAAAATCGTCGAAAAGAAGAATATTATCCCAGCGACCCAAATTTTGGTCGCTACGATTCCGAGGGTCGTGGCTGCGCTCCTGAATCGAAGACACCCCATTTCTCGGCCTGTGAGATTAGGGAGTCCAGAAGAGAGGTAGGGCAACACCACTCCTTCTGTGCCCGATAATCAAGTGGAGCACCTCGAGTGCGTACGTAGCGTTAGACCCGTAGGTGTCCCGCTGATGCCCGTCGCCGCGTGGCGTGCCGACACCCATCATCCAAACGATCGTACGTCCCCCTCTGGCCTACGTTTGTTGTCACCTTCCTTCTCTCTGTCCCTGCCACGTGGGTTCAAGGCTACACCGACCGACATCATCATGGCCAACAAGCAGCGAGGACGAGGCCGTCGTGCTGTTGGTGGCGGTGGTGGTGCTTCGACTTCTTCTGCGGGTGACCACGGTGATGGTCCGACAAGCGCAACAAACATCGGCGAGGTCTTGGCTTCGCACTGCGTGAAGGAGTGGGACGCGCCACTAAATAACATCACGTTGGCGGAGAACAGCAGGCAAACCAGCCCGACCGCGGTGCAGGAAGTCGTCGAGAGCATCCAATCTCATGGATGGGTGGATAGCTTTCCGCGAGTGATGTTCTCGGATCTGACAGAAGGGCAAGAGATGACCGTCGAACTCCCGGCTACGCTACATGCCGTCGTCATCGACGGAAATCATCGGTTGGCTGCCTGCAAGGAGGTGTACGGAGAAGATCGGCTCATAAGGTGCACGTGCTAACGGTTCATCGCGGATGGCTTCGCCAGGCAAATCGCCTCTGACGGTGAGATGGAAGAGTGTACTCTCCACGTTGGATGAAGCAAACACGGTCTTCTTGGGAAGACGTCTGTATTCTACACTCTTATGACCACTCCCGCTCTCAAACACATCTTTCGCCTCTCACGCTTCTCCAACGAAATTGGGTCGGATTATTGTACTTTGGGGGGTATGGTGTGTGTGTAGCAGTCGAGGTGTCAGACGATAATGTTACAACGGCAGCAGCAGCAGCAGCAGCAACGAAGAGATGAGCACGTCGCTGCTCGCGCGCCTCTTCACGTGCGGAATTAACCGAATTTATTATCTATACCACGAGAAGCACAGCAACACTGCAAGAAGACTAGCATACGATGTATTGTACCCTTTTGAGATACTTCAATGAATAACACCATCGTTGGTGTACTGCGGTACAGCAGGTCCTGGCACAACGACACGGTAGTGACGGTAGTGACTCCTCAACAACGCACCCACACAATTCCCATGGATCGGTGTTCGTATCCTGGGACACTGCTGCCGCTGCTGTACACCCCAGTGTGTAACGTCACGACGGCCACGTTCCAAGCGCGGACAATCTACGACCAGCTCTATTTCTACAATAGGATGATGACGTCGCTGATGGCCCAGGAGAGCGAGTCATCATCAGCTTGCCGGCGGTCTTCTAATAGTCGTTCGAAATCGTCCGTCACCGCGGCTAAGCTAGCGGCATGCCGGAAGGGGGTGAGTGCGACTGACACATCCTTTTGGTGATGATACTCTCCATATTTCTGGTGGGTGTTTTTGCCTGTAGCCTGATATCGGCGACAGGCCATGTTACTGTACAAACACCACGTTTTTCGTATTATGACTTCGTTTTCTGTGCTTTTTGCTGCAATATTTAGGCTGGTAGCCAGGCACCGGCAGCCAACACCCTTCGCCAGTGGATTTCTATTGTCAACGACACGGGCCAGGAAGCACTGGTGGCGCTTCGGGCTCTGACGGATCAACGCGTTCCAGGTTACCAAAGCATCACCAAGGCCTTCCTGGCCGACCCTCGCGTGCGGGAGTTGAAAGAAGAGCAGCCGCAAACCCAGGCCCTCCTTGTCGACGTTTACGCGAGGTACCCAATATGGGAGGCAACGAGTAACACCAGCCCAGTGTGATGCAAGTGTGATATATTATCAGGCTTCGTTCGTGGTTGACATCCTCTGCAACTGTATTGCTGTCGGTACGGTAGTGTTGTTTTTGTCCAAGGTACTACGCTGCCATGTAGATCACTCGTGTGTACCAATAAGTGGACGATCAGTGCCAGAACGCACACATACATACTCCTTCGATTAGAACCCCACCTTGTGGTTTGGGTACTTGTGCAGGATGCCGAAGACGTCCAAGAAAGGAGAGCGCGAGGGGTTGGACGAGATAGGCTGGGCGTTGGCTCGGGCGAAGATGACGGCGTCTTGGGTCGAGGGTATTGAGCACGTAGTGCCCAGGGACCAATGGTCAGACAAGCTGAAGGGGTGAGTGCAGCAACGACGTAGATTGGGGCCTGGCACACGGAAATTGGCCGAGTCAAGTGATGGATTAGTACGGAGAGATTGAGACAGAAGGAGGTACTGGATAGAGAGACCGGGATGGTTTTTAATGTGAAGACAACAACAACAACAACAACTCGGTAGTTTTGTTCTTTCGGTGGTTGTCCGTGATTGGTAGGGGCAAAAGCGACAGAAAAAAACCACGAACGACGTTCACTAACCTCGACCGCATTCGATATCTTCCCGGGGTTCCCATGCCCACAAAAACAGTACCGTCCACGACTTCGCGTTCGTGAAGACCGGCCACTACGCTAACCACGTCAAGCCACACCAGCTTGAGAGCGAGGCGGAGGTACGCGAGCTCCGCGAGTCGCTTCCTCCGCACGTGAAGGACCTCGACGAAGATGTAGTGCTGGCCATTCGCTCGAAGCTACATCCCAGCATCAGGAAGGTGAATGCAGTACAATGTAGGGCGTTTGCGTTAGCGTTTGCTTTGTTCGCCTAAGCTTGCTTGCAGCATGTTTGTTCGTGGTTCGAGTGCTGTACAGGTTATGGTGGATGGGAGCACTTGCTGTTTTCATTCCCCCCTGCTCGTTGTTGCGACGGGTTTCACTAGCACATCTGCAATCACTCGGATAGGGGCGAGCGGGGAGGGACGGTCGCGTTTCTCCGCGCCAACTATTACAGGCGGGACATAGTCGCGGGTGGAAGGCCAAAGTTTTGTTGCTTTCTGTTGGTTCGTCGTATGGCAGGTCATGCGCAAAGACCTCAACTTTTGCCCGATGCTCGTCGAGCACGAGGGACTGTACGAAAGCGCTTTGAACAAGGTCAGAAGCTTGAAGCTGCAAGTCACTCAGCCACTGCAACCACGTCCACGAGAACCCGTCGGCAACAACAACAGCGAGGGTCTTGGCTGCACCGTCTGCAAAGCACCAACCTCCTCGAGGTGAGGGCCAGGGAGGTAGAGGATGAATGATCACGCCTGTTCAGTACACGCCTATCAATGCGGCCTGTCCGCTCGCGTGGCCGACCGCCGCAATCTCACCGCTAGCTTCTGCCGACGGCATCCCATGGCCGGTGCGACCCCCCACGTCAACTTTAACACCGGTACGTGTCCATCTGACCGTTCATTATATATTTTCGCGCGGCGTCCATGTATCACGCCATGTACAAAGTACGTGTTCTTGTACAACACGCCAGTGTTTGAATATCGCCGCCCTGTTCACGCTTGTTGTCCCTCGTCCCCATTCCTCTTGGCTCCCCTCGCCTTAGCTGTTCGTGTTCCGTCTGCAAGATCCACCACACTGGTGGTTGCACGAACACCGACTTTTAGGAGGACGACGAAAACTCGAAAGTCAGAGACTGCAAGGTTTGCCACCTCAGCAAGCAGCCGCAGCAGCAGCCACAGCAGCAGCAGGAGGAGCCAGACGAACCGGAGGGGCCTGAGGAGGGGGAAGAAAAGCAGCAGGATACCAACAAGCGCCCCGCCCCAGCACGTTCGGGAGGCGGGGAGGATGGTGGTCCGTCTTCGTCCTCCGGACAAAACCGGCGCGAGGGATAAGGGAAAGAGGCCCAGGAGGGACCCAACGCCCTCGTCACCGGCACCGACCTTGCCCACTCTCCCGTCCTCGCCTGGCGGCACCGGTGACGACCTCAGCAGGTACTGTGACAATGAATGATGAAGGCGCGATGTACACTACTAGTACGTTTCCCGATGATTCGCTCTCGAGCTTGATGGTTGACGCTAGGCCCGAGGTAGAAAGAAATGAACAAACGAATAACCCTAACCCTGACATTTTTCTCTTTGTTGCCGTGGTTTCCATGCCGCACGCCCCACCACCCACTGCTTGCCGTCGACATACAGGGCTGAGTGCATCCGCATCAACGACGTGATGCCGCTCAGTCGTGATTTCCGCGTGGAAGGATCCGACGCTGCTATCGAGGTCGACGGTGACAAGGCCATGCTCTTGTTCGTCGCTCCCGGTGTGAACGACGATCTACTCAGGGAAACTGCTCCCTGGAAAGACCGCCTGAACAAGATCATCTACCGCGTGTGCGACTTCTTGCACGAGCAAGGCACAATGATCGTCCACGTTCCTCACTCCTATCTACACCATGGTCGGCGCATCTCGGGTCAGTGTTGTCTATTGCTTTTTTTCAGCTGCTTTTTTTCTCTTCTTACGAGCTTTCACGTCAGCATGGTCGTCGTCGTCTGGGTTTCGAGTTTGTTTTAGCGGGGAATGGCGTGGAGTTTGGAGGGACTATCTGGGCGCGAAGAAGAAGACGCTCCCGATGCCATTTGTCCCCTTCGTCACGCACGGACTAACAGACGCCGTCCTTGTTCGATTGTGTCTTGTTGCTTCTTCTTTTCTTCTCTGTTTACCGTGTAGACGCCCTCAAGCAGCCCGATTTGGGACTGGTTGTAGAAGACAATCCGCTGGTGGTTGTGTACGGAAAGAGGGGAAGTGGGATTACATCTACATCCAAGGCAAACCACCTTTCAAGGGGTGTCGACATCTTTCTTATCGCTCATCCCAATGGCGCTAACTTCCGATGCAACAAGGACGTGCTGCCGCAGAACTTTCCAGATAAAGTTTGGGCAAATGGCGAGCGGATTCCTGTCAACAATGCCCACGAGTGCGTCATGAACGACGTGCCCTACCTTGGGGCTTCTCGATGCTTCCACAACAGCGTCGCCTCCTGGGGGACTCAACGGTGAGCCCCTGAGCCTTGAACGAGCCGCTTGACTCCGCGACACCAGAGGCTCGTAGGTGAAAATAAAATACTTCATCCTCGTCATCCATGAAATGCCCACATGGCGTGTGGGGTTTGGATGTAGCTCCTCTCATATTTTTTTATTCCCAACTCCCGGGGGGGATCTCACCCCTCACCCATCTAAGTAGCATATTTGCGTAGATGGGGGTGGGCCGTGGGGGGGGTGGGGTGGGGGTTACTCTCCTCGCGTTTTGCATGCCTTAGCGGTGGTAGACCATTGACCACGCGTCCTTGACAGGACGGACCACGTGGTAGATGGGGGTGGGGTGTGTCTTCATGGGGTACGAGGGGGGGGGGCGTATCGGCAGGATGGAAAAAAATATTTCTTGTTGTGCGGGTGGTGTACGGGGGATTGTCGTCTTCCCTCAACTGAGAACATACCTGCACGCCCTAACCGTCGTTCGATGAGTGCCAAGTACCAGAATTCCACATGCCGCACAAGCCCTACCGTAACCCTCGTGCCTGACAGTTCTGTATACTCGGTCGTTTTATGCATTCCCCAAGTTTCACGAAGCAAGGGGACGCTTACCGCCGACAAGGACGGTGTCGTCGAGACAGCACTGAAGTACGGGCGGAATGTGGGCTTGTTCATCACGGACCCAAACGAGCGCGAAGGCATCATGAAGCGGGCGGAGCGAGCCTTCGAGGACCCGTGGAGAATGGGAATATTTATGGTGGGGATCCGAAGGATACTTGTTGTGCAATAGCGACATGCATTGCGGCTTTCCCCTTATGAGCACATCCATAGCAAAGGTCTCCCCCCCCAGTGAGTGTAGGTCGACCTGCTCAACTTCCTTTTGCTTGGTAATGCGGCCGCTTTCCTGCCGTCGTTGGTATTTATTTTAGGAAAGTCGTGGGGGATAGTGCCATGACTGTGCGGGAAAGTTATAGTACAATATTTATGGATATGTAGTCTACAAGTTATGAGATTATGCGTGCAGGTCACGCGTTCTTTAAAGCCCACCAACTGCCGCTCCGGTCCTTCCTTTCTGAACTCCTGTATACTTTGCTGTTTTGAATCTCCAAAGCGGAAATCACCGGCCACCAACATCCACAAAGTCCGCCATGGCACGCTGCCGCTTGGCATTCCCTCGGATAACACCCCGCGAGGTATCGTCGACCAAATCGACACCTGGACGGAAAATTTGATTTCAGATGGGAAGGATGAAGAAGGCGCCAGGATCCAAGCCATGATTGAAGTGGCGTGTAAGGTGGCTCGTGACTTCCAGTGGGAAGTACGCCTGGACGTGAGTTTGTTGCAAGAAGCTGCCTTGCATATTTGCAATGATATCGGCATGTGTATGTATGGATGTCGGGAGGTGGGCGGCCACGATGGTTTCCCCTCTCAGAAACAAAGACATTAAACTGATGAAATGAAAAAAAAACGCGGTCTCACCGAACCCTTGAATGTCGGTAGCGTGCATCGTTTCATGTCGCAAATTCTCCACACTAATTTGCGCAATATCTCCCTCGAATCTGTTGTCCGATTTGTCCGGTGCTCTACCCTCTTGTTCGTGTTCGTTAGAACCACCTGCCTGCTCCTGTTCGTCTCAAAGTCGTCAAACCCCAACTCTGTCCGAATGTCGTACCGCAGCCGCCGGAAGAGCTAGGCGTTAGTGTGACTCTCTTCGCCCTGGATGCCCAACGCTACAACGTGGGCGCTTCCGACCTTCCCGTGTGGGGGGAGTACATCGTGTCCGATTCTCTCGAGGAGGCCTATGCTTCGATTAAACCCGATGACGACGCCGAAAACCTCCAGTACGTGCGACTACTTCACGTCGCTGACACCCAACTGCTAAGGCGGATGTGCAAGGAGGCCGAAGAGAGCGTCGTGTCCGAGGACGCTGGCCTTTATCTTAGGGTTGCCAAATCTTGCCCGGCGTTCTACGCCTTGTGGGATGAATCCGAAGATAACGCTGGAACCCACGAGGTTCGGAACAGGTGTGCACGAACTGACTCGACGAGCAACCTGGTTGCAAAGTTCAGGGGAACCGGTTCTACGGAGTTCCCTGTGTTCCTGAAAGTGTGCCAGGAAATTGCTGCCAAGAACCGGGGTCGAGGGGTACACGTCCAACCAGGCTTGTCTGTCGTTCGCCCTGGATGGTACAAATCGCCGGAAACGGAATCATCCAGCAACGACGAGGGCGGGAGTCCCTAGAGCTTGTTGTTTTTCATTTAGAGGTAGTGCAGAGAAGTCGACTACCGTTTCTTGTTCTTGCATTTGTGTTTTCGGCTACATGGGTAATGGCAAGAGAGGAATGGTCCTCTTTAAGGAGCAACAATTGCTCTCTGGGTCGTTGGTGTGGAGGCTGCTCCGGTACAAAAGGAAATGGGAGGGGGGAGGGGATTGGGAGGGTGTACTCTTTTTGGGGGGGGGGGTTGAGGTACCGGGAAGAGCATGAGTGAGTCTACTGAGGAACTCCCGAGTGCACCCTTATTAGTTTCTCTCAGGGTGTATATTTTTTTCAGTTCGTTTTTTGCCCGTCGACTATATAATTTCGCATCGTTTCACATTCAAGTAGCAGCACGGTAGAACGAATTATAGGCGGCGGAAACCCGTTTCGTGGGCAGTATCAACGTGCAACGTCCCACGGTATCTGTGTGCGGAATGATTTACTTTGTTGGACGGCGTCGGTTTACCCACAGCGAGTGACGGAGTCGGGTGTGAAACGTATGCGTTGTTCGAACTGCTTGGCGGCCACTGCCATCTCCTCGCTTCATTGTCCCTGTGTGATACCTCAAACTTCAGGGTTTGGACGATTGGTTCTTTTCAATGGTACAGTACAACAAGAAAAAATGGAAGTTTTTTTGTGTTGGGTGGGCACTCTCTTCTACGGAAGAGGGTTGGAGGGCTGGACCTTCCAGACAAACGACGTGGGGAACCGCACAATAAGTACGGGAGGCGTACCAATTGAGCACGCGCCTCTACATGCATGATATGACGCAACATACGGTTGCTGAAAGGCGACGGCAACGCATCGTCTCCTGACGTTGCCAATGCTGTATACAGAGACGTGTAGAATACAAGCAGTCTCGAGTAACGTGCCTAGGATTATATATATCATCTCGCTGCCTCTCGACCTTTAGGACATGCGGCTGCTTTCCAACCTGGACAACAGCAAGCACGAGGGGCGCTACTAACGCCAAAGCGAGAACCTTCTGCCACACCACTGCTGATACTTTTATTGATGCGCCGCTACCTCTAACTCTTGCATGCGGAGCGGGTGTGGTCCCTCGTGCGTGCTCCACCCTTCATGCCCCCGCGCAACAAACAGATACCACCGAATCCTACGCCAACTTCTGCCAAAAACAATATATGAGTAATCCACTTGCTGCCCGAACGTGCTCCGTACTCCGGGGAGGGAAAACAGCCTGCAATCGGACTGGGACGTACTTCTAACTATATCCCCGCCCCGCCGCGTCGCCTTCTTTCGACCACGTGCCGCCCCAGACGTGGTCTCAACCTTTCCCATGGTACCGACCCGACCCATGTTCCCCTGTCCTCCATTACAAGCTGTTCCACTCCTGTGTAGCCTCTTTCAATCTCCCCTATCCTCCATTCCAAGCGGTGGTCCAAGCAACCATGCCCCTGACCATCTAAGACGCGGCAAACCACATCAGCACCTTAGACAAGGGGCATGGAGTGGCGGCATAGCAGAACAGAGGCAAACAAGGAGGAAAAGCGTGACGAGCACTACGACAAAACACAATCAATCTCGTAACATTGCAACCCCTAGTATCGGTCACTGCTCCAGAACGAGAGCTTCACTAAAGCAAGAACGACGTTTAACACACCAGAATGACAACAGACAACACTCTTTGTGAGACTAGACTACACAGAAATCCCTCTCGTCAAACGGCGAGACACCGCAATCCTGACTAGTGGTCTAGTGGTCATCGTGCTGATCAACAGGCAGTACAAAGTCGCGGCAGAGCGTCTGTACACCATGCTTCCGAGATCTGCCGGTGGGTGCCATTGTTGACATCGAATCCCCTCCCTTCTCATAATGTAAAACGCCAATACAAGTAGCGTACAGCAGTATTACAGCAGTTGTTGTGAGAGAGGCACCGTACCTGGTTCGCAAACAAAATAAGTTGGCTCGTCTCCCTTCTACAGCAGCAGTACATCATGGGTCCTCCAAGATAGGCGACATCTCCCTTCTACAGCAGCAGTACATCATGGGTCCTCCCAGATCGGCGACCAAACCCAAGCTCGGACGACCCCCTGCTTGTCTTTAGATCGGCAGGAACGCACTGCTGTTTCGGGCCCTGTGTTGTTTNCGGCGACCAAACCCAAGCTCGGATGACCCCCTGCTTGTCTTTAGATCGGCAGGAACGCACTGCTGTTTCGGGCCCTGTGTTGTTTGACCTGTCCGCAGGGGTCAAAGTAGTTCATCCATTTCATTACCCTTGCCGAACGGTTCCCGTCACCAATACTTGCTTCAACTAGTCGAACAAACATTCACACATGATCACGTTCATTTTAGCCACTCCGTCTGTGCAACGGGCGGTGGTGGTGTACTACTGTAGGTTCAGTTTCACGGCGGAGAAGGAATAACAGCAGCAGTTACTGAACGACAACATTCATAAAGACAACTACCATACCTACGCTGACAGATAGGGGTTAGGGTAACGAAGTCCTACCTGTACGAACTGTTGCTGCACGTACATGAATGTACTTGCTCTCCTCGCAACCCTTTCTGCCACTAGGTTTGGCTAACCCTCTACTCCTTCGGCGAGTGCCGTGTGGAAGGTCAGCTACATACAGGTCAAAGGCGTGCTCACGTGTGCTGTTGTTGTTGTGCGAGGGAGCACGTACACTTTGCTACATGCGGCGCGGCCGTTGGAAGGGTCAAAACAGGAAAGGAGGAGGACATACATGCGACCGGACAAAAAAAGGTGGGTAGACCACCTGCCGGCACACGTTTCGAGAAAGAGAGAGTACAGGCAGAGCCACAATAGACCCGCACATATATCAAGAGAGAGCGTGCCGACAGGGTCACAAGTAAATCCGGCAGGCGTTGCTGGTGGCGCGCCCTGCTCGGATGGATGTTCAAACGATCGGCCTGTCGGTCCTTGATTGGGCTGATTTTTCGTTGTTGCCCCGCCTGCTCTTATTCTCCTCCATCCTACCCGTTATGATGCCCTGTATCTCTCCTTCTATCCCTACTGCTGTTGTACTTCTGTCTATCCACTATTAACGTGCTTTGTGTGTGTGTGGAGAGTAGGGCGTGCGTGAGGCGAGGGACAGCAATCTCCAACGTGTACGCCAGGAGCCACGACACACGTCACACGTCAAGCATTTTGGGTGTGTGTGCTTTATTATTAGCATCGACCGCGCAACCGGCTGACCAATGAAAATACGTCAGCCTTAGTGCGGTTGAGAACACAAAACACTTCTATCTACCATGAACTGGGACCCCGTGAGGGGGCAGCATGGGGGAGGCTAAACTATCCTTCGGATTAAAAACAGAAACAGCAGCAACAGACGAAAAATGCACGCGTCTACCAAGGCTATTACCTAGTACTCGAGTTCGTTTAGGAGTACTTTCACCAGTGTCCTCCTTGTTTTCGCTACCATCATTCTGATCCTCATTTCGACAAGAAGAATCTCTGGGCAGTTCTTCCCTAGCCCTACGTTTCTTGTTGTGGGGAAGGTCATCTGGCTCAAACCCTTTGCTCTCTTCCACTCCTCCATTTTTTTCTGCTCCATCGTCGTCTTCGTCCTCCTTTCTTCCCTTTCCCTTTCCTTCGTCTTCGTCACTCCCAAAAGAATTACCCTCACTACTATCGGGTGTGTGTGTGTGACCGAGGGCTCGTCCTCTCTCTCCGACCGATGTGTTGATTCGGTTTTTTGCCATGAGGCCGCGGTGCTGCCTACACGCGCCAAAGCAACGGCAACACGTCTACCATACACCAGAGCATGTGTATACCAGTGTAGGGGCTTACTTGTGCCCGTTTGGAGCGGCGTCCGATGAGGAAACGTTTGGGGCGATTGATCGTTTGTTGTCGTACGCCGAGACGTGTTCGATTTGGTTTTCGGAATCAAATCGACAGTTTCGCGTCGGTTCGGAACCGTTCTTCAACGCGAAGTCCAGTTGCGAACGCGAAGTCTAAGTTTCCCCGGTTATAGGTCCTTATTACCTTGGTGTGTGTCATGCAGATCGAAAGTGCGACTCCGACTTTCATCGGGAAACAGCAATCGGGCGCTACGACGATCGCCAACGCTTCCCTCACCCCCCGCCAAATAGTACTCATGCAGATGCCGTCTCAACATTTCAGGTCCTGATTCGAAAAATTCGCGGGGGAAATCCGGTCCAACCGTGAAATACGCGTCTTGACTGGACCAGCTTGTACCGAACACCGTCTCCTCTACCAACGCCCCTTCCACTCAGACTTCATTTGGTCTGTGTCTAGGGTGTGCGTGTGTACTCACAGTCATCCATGCCGTGGTCGTTAGACCATTTTGACCTCGCATCCCTACAAAGCCGGGGGGGGGGATCAGTACGCTGCTATAATAGTATAATCACCAGAGACCCAGAGATGACACGTTCGACACAAAGCCCGGCTTGCTATGCATCCACGGTAAAACATCTCGGCAAAAAAGAAGAAAAAAAAAACTCCACCAGGGATCGGAACTCCGCCGCCCGCATGTCGTCGTTTGAGAAGACGTGGTGTTCGTGAGTCTGCGAACATTGCTGTTGGATACATGTGCTGGATGATTTTGTGTCACGCAGACTGGTAAGATAACCGTTTGATAGGGGGCACCGCGATGATTCACGGGGCCCCTCCTTGCTGTGGGAGACGCTCGTTGAGCACTCCCTCTTTCGTCCGTGTGAAGGATGGTCGTATACCTCCCGTGAAGTTAATACATCACCAAAACAGTCTCACCCGATAAATAAGTGGCGTAGGCCGCAAACA